CTGACCCAAATGGAGTTGTGAGCCATTAATTGATCTGTATGATATTTATATTACGAAATCTCTATATAAAGATAAGCTGCAACATTATTACTTTAGTTCAATATTAAGAGATAACCATGCAAAAAAAATTGTTATAAATCAACCCAATCGATGTCTTAAAGAATACTGTTGTTTCTTGAATTTAAAATTTAAGTATTTAAGTTCTATAAATTTAAAACTGCAATCATTTATTTTCTATGAGAAGAAGCAAGTTAGTTACATTATAAAAACTATTTATTTGAAGAAGTATCTTAAAGTCTAAAAAGTTTTATGTTGAAAAAGATAGTTTTATATATTCTCATATGATTTAATGAAGTATTATTGTAATTTATTTTTTATTTTACGCTCATTATAAAGACAACATAATTTCTTAACACTTAAATCGTTTGGAACATAAATAATAATATTAATGATAATAATAATATTTTTATGATACATAAAAGTTGTCGAAAAACAATTTCAAACAATTTTTGATGCAGTTTATTATATTTTGATAAACATATTATGCGTTCATTAATGCCCTTTAAAGTAATTTTAATTTATATCACCCATTTATTAAAATCATATATCTTCATCTTTACTATTTTATAAATCAATTTTTATTGAGTTTTTAATATTAAAAAAGTTGAAATTTAAAAACAGTTAAAATTTTATATCGCTTTTTCCATACATGATTTTATGATTGTACGTAAACATTATTCAATATACGACATGACACAGTTGTATCTTGTATCTAAACATTATTCAATATAACGACATGACATAGTTTCAATTGCAAAACAAACAAAATCATAAAAATATGAATTTTAGCAACTTTCAATTAGAAATCTCCTTTAAATTTTAGTAAACATTCTCCAGTTGATATTACCGGAACCACTTTCAATATTAACGATTGAAAGAGGAGAAATCAATTTCTTTGCATTAAGATTAAGCCAGCTTAAGCACATTTTGGCTCATAATATTTGTAACATATGAATGTCATACTTAAAAACTGGTATGAAAACGAAACTTCTAAAAAAATATAAACCAAAAAATAAATTCATTTTTTATATTTTAGAAATCAAAAGGAAAAATAACAATATATAACTCCAGCAAGTAAAAGTGAAAAAGTAGCTTTCTCCACAGATTTATGAACTTTTTTTCCGTATACAGTTTTTTTAATAGTTGCAAATCAGTAAGGAGCATCTTCCTTACTGCATTGACTTTTTCCTCACTTTAACAGTTTATTTATTAAAAGGCACAGCCGCCAAACTTGCAACATTGCACTATCGCACAGTCAATATAGTCGACAACACAATCTTAAGCGTTGCAGAAAACAAAACGTATCTCCAGACATTGCCGGCAACTTCCAAATTTAATAATAAATACTGAAAAATTATTCGGGAAAAAACTTATTCACGATTATGCAGCAAATGAGCTTGGTGTTGTTTGTGTTTGTTTAACATATTCCAAGCTTGGATGCACAGCCCACGAATGTGACGAGTGTGACATTGAATTAGCATTTGATATTTTGCACAATTGTTCAATCCTGTGCCAAACGGTACAAAAAATTTCTCTCAAGAAATGCAAACATTTTATTTATCACGTATTATGACCTTATGATATATTACGTTATATCAAAGCGATTAGGCATCAATGTCCTCTTATGTACGCGCCCATGTCTAAGGCAGTCTTACATGAATGTATCTTACCAAATTTTATACTTTTAATTGCAAAGATTTATTTAAACAACAATAACAACAACAGTAACAAGATTTGTAATATGACAACGGAAGTAAGTTGTATTGCAATTGGCAGGATGAAAGTTTTTTTGTATTTATATTTTTAATTTGAGAAATTTTTAAATTTTTAAATGTACTTATTTTTATTTATTGTATTTTTTTTAATTGCTTTTATTTTGCGTGATATTTGTTATCGAAAAATTTAAATAAATTTCATGTGAAAATATTGTAGTTTCATAAAAGGAAAAGAGTTAAGCAACAAACTTGCCCAGCATAAACACATTTGCAGAAATACTCGTACTTGTACTAAAAACGAGTTCGTGTCTTGAGTCTTTTGAGTTTCGCGTTGTAACATTTAAATTAATTTTTTTATCTTTAACGGTATGACTGATGCTTCCATAAACATTAAAATATTTACGTGTGGATACGTACAAGTGTCTTTATCTTAAGCTAGCTGATTTGTTGTTATTTTTATTGCTTTTGCTACCTGACATGAGGTCAATCATCGTCACAAATTGAACACGTTACTATTTTGTGAAAACTTTGCTTAGAGAATATGGTTCAAAGAAGGTATGTACAATGGCCATTTGGTTAGTTTGATATGCCAAGATAATTAGTGTAAAATATGGTACACAGACACAGATTTGTGAACTATATGAACCGAAAAATAATTAGACATATACCACATTAAAATTTTACATGTATAAAATAAATGGAACATATGTAAAAAGTACGGAAAAAATTATTTTAACAAATTATTTCAAAATACTTTAATGAACCTATAAAAATATTACAACGTTTTTAATATTAATGAAATGTATGCCATAAAGTCTCTTGCAAAAATAAAATCTAAAATGTTACTAACCTACTAAAAATTATTGACCATCAAAATTCTTGAAATAACTTTTTGAATTATTACATAGCATTTTAGATAATACTATTTTTATGAAGTTTGATAATGAACATACAAAAATATATTATAATTATCCTGCATACTAAATATTTACAATACTAAATATTTATTATATAGTTATTATATATTAATAATATGAGCAAAATGTAAAAAAGTTATATAAAATAAACCGTTTAGTACTACTTAAACCGAAATATTCCTAATAAAAATTCATTTTGTTGATTATCGATTATAACTGAATTGTAAATAATTTTTGCTATAAACTTGTAAAATAAATATTACATATAACAGTAAAATTGTAATAAAATCTTCAATAAAAATTGAATTGGGCCGAAATAAAAATATTGCATCAGAATTCTATTCTATGCACACAGCGCAAGTTAATCTTCATTAACTGCTGATCTGGATCGCATTGTTGCTATTGTCCATAAGTTTCTTATTTTTAAATCTAATTATAAATATTAATTTCTAAAAATTTTTTTCATTTTTGTTATCGGGTTTTATTAGAATTGCAAGAGGTCAGAAAACTTTGTCCAAATCTTATTGTAAAGTTGGCAATACTTTTATTCTGTGTGCTGATTAGATTAGGAAACTTTTTTGTAGGAATAGCACAATAATAAGTATTATTGTGGCAGTGTATTATTGTTCCTTTTCAATAAACTAATCCTCACCTCGAAATAATTTGAAAAATATAATCTGAAGTCATTTTTTATATACAAGAATTATTGTATATCGTGCACTTATATAAAAATCAGAGAAAGTAATGAAACACATATTTTAACACATAACCTAAGGAATCTAGTTTTGTTAAAGAATTCCGAACATTTTTTCTTTTTACAAATGACTCCAAAATTAGCTCCACAGATTCTAACATCATAAAATTTGTAAGAAACTCTCAAGCATATTTCAAACGAAATTACTGGTCATAGTAAAAGTTTATCATATTTTCAGTAGCTATCTAAGACAGAGCAATAATACAGATGTATGATGTGTTACTTAAAAATCATTTATAAAGCTTAGATTTACTATTATTTTGTTACTACTGATATTTAGAATTAGCATATATGGGAACACTTCAAGATATGATATGAATTAATAGATGAATTAAGCAGGGAAGACTAAATTCTGGAGATAAAACTTTCGTTTTAGGTGAGGAAACTTTATGCAAAACTGCCATCCACAATGACAGTTACTGAATAAGTAAAAATCTCAAGATCTCACTCGTTTTGGGTATGAAAACTTTAAGCAAATGTGCTTTAAGCAAATATGCTTTAAGCAAAAGTGCCATCCACAAAGACAGTTTCTGAATAGGTAAAAATCTCAAGATTTACTGTCTCGAAAAACTGCCAGTATCTCACTCTAATAAACTGGAGTAATATATAAATAAGTTCTGTTTTTCTTTAGTACCAACTGCAAAAATCGAGTTCAAAGACGACAAATTTATAGATTTTCCATAAGTATTTGATTTTATGAACCGCTCCTAATTAAGCATATAGAATACTGAAAAGTTAAATTTGAAATGACATTAAAGCCACGTACACTAATTTCACTTGTAGGATTGGGATTAACTTTCTGATCCATTCTCATTTAAAACTCGAGTTAGGCAAAGCTGCGTGTTATCGCCTCTACTATTTGTGTTACCTTTAGATGGGGTATTCAGATCTTCACTCAAGGGTTGCAAGGGCATACAATGTAGCCCGTTTAACCAATTGGAAGATCTTGAATATGCAGAGGATGTTTACTTATTATGTCATAGGTGTTCCGATTTACAGGACAATCTTGAAAGAATTAACAACTGCTTATGTACATTGTGACCGAAAAGCTTCCGGAAATTTTAAATAAAACGCAAAATTCTTAATCTTCATCAATATTTATTT